GCCATGGAGAAGAGTCCCAGAAGTCACCCTGCTGAAAGAGGTCTGGGTCCCAGAAGGACGTCCCACGGAGACGAGCCCCACAAGGCCATCCCACCAGGCCTCATCTGTAACCCCTCCCACTCCCTGCGCTGCTGTGAGCTCTGAGATCAGACCCAGGTGTCCTCCCTGGCTGGGGCAGGGGCGAGATGGAGGCCGAGATCAGGTGAGCTGAACCCATCAGGATAAAAGGCGCCTGCGGGAGACCCAGTATCCACGCCCCGCCTACAGGGACCCTCGGAAGGGCGAGTTTCAGAGAATGTGGAAGGAAAGGGTGTTGGGGCGGCCAGCACCTCCTCAGAACACTCCGTAAAGTTTGTGTCTGTTCCTGGCCTGGCCTGTTTGTGGTGAGGGGAGATCCGGGCTCCGGGACTAGACTCCGGCTGGACCTCGGGGCTGCCGCAGGGTGCACGGGGGCGGGGGCGGTCCCGGCCCACTGACAAGGGCCGCTTCTCCGGCCCGCTGTGATTTCCAGCAAGCCAAGCCGAGTAGCGGCTGTTTGGAAGCTGGGCCGCCTGCTGGCCACAGTGTCCCGCGTCTGCGGCGAGGGGCTGGGCCGGGGCCGGAGCTGCAGACTCCGCAGCCGGACTGCTCTGCTCACCCTCGGGCTCAGCCCTTTGCATTCCCCTCAGAGATAAGCATTTTTGTTTCTCAATTAGAGAAAGTCTTAAAACGTGCTCCTGGGGAGAAACAACCTAACTCCTGGTCAGACGGCCGCCCCTCTTGTCTCCCGAGGAAGAGGACTGGAGACGTCACAGTCTTTCTTACGGTTCCCATGGAAATGCGTGTGTGATGTCCCGGTTCGTATGTAAACGCGTGTGTGACGCCAGCTCGGCAGATGGGTTCCACCGCAGCAGCGCTGCCGGGCGCTGGCGGGTCCCGGCTGGGCGCTTTGCCACAGACGTCCGAGGGCCGAGTAGACACGCGTCAGACGAGGCGGCTCAGAGCCGGGGCGTTTTACGGTTGGGCGAGTCTCAGTCTGTCTGCTGATGGGGAAAGGTTTCACTCTGCGTCCGTGGTTCCGGGAGCCTGGCAGTTCTCGTCTCGTGTGGTCCACCACGAGACAGGGCAGGGCTGGCGGGTAAACGAGGGGTCACCCACCCACATGGGGGTCATTGAGAGAAAGTGTGCGCGGTGCAGCGGGGGCCTCTCCTGGGTGTTGTAGGGAGGTGGCCTTTGTGGGGAGCCCACTCCTGGAGCAGACGGGGCAGGGGAGAGTTTGGAACGGGGAGCTACATCTAGAGCTGCTTTCTTGGCGCACGGGCTCAGGTGGGGCCACACTGTCAGTGCAAATCCGTGTATTTCACAGCACACATCCAGGGACAGTGGGTGACCCCAGATTTTCTTCCTTCTGGAACATGAGGCAGAAGTGTGGCTCCCGTGGACGGACGTGAGGGGCGAGGCGGTACCTGGACATGAGGAGCTGGCGCACCGGCCCGAGACGCGCTCACTCCCCACCCCGCACTGCCCCGCGGCTGGAAAGGCCAACGCGGACACACGCCCCTCAGTTTTCACCCTTGAGTTGCGGGTCTGATGGGCACAAGACGCTGGGGAACACAGAGAGAATTATAACTGCCCCGGTGCTGAGAGTGGTCACAAGAAGCCCTTCCAAAGAGCAGCATCGGTAACAACTGAAGACGTGGGAAGATGGTAGTTTGCGAACTTTCCGGAGATACATTGACTCCTCAGGCATGAGGACACTTCAGCAAATCATTTCGTAGAGACAGAATCTCGAAGAACATTAAATCCCTTCTGGGGCTACGAATACTGAGTCAGGTTTCTCTTATTTTGGCAGAATATGCACATTCTAGGAAAGCCAGCAGACGCCTGCTGAATGCAAAGTGAACTGAGTACAAAGTGCAGGGTGAAACCTCTCGCCAGTGCCTGCCTGTCGGCCCGGGGCAGCCCCGGAGCAAAGCTCGGCCTTCGTCCAAACGCTAGTGACGGGAGAGGCTTCGCCGGGTCACGCAGGACTTTTCAAACGACGTACAGACATTGCACTGCCGTGCAGCAAACAGTCTTCCACATATTTGTGTTTTGACTGTATGTGACATTTGCTTTGTGGACCACAAGGATACGTGCTGTGTGAGCTCCAGCGAGTGTCGAGCACAGTGAAGGACACGCCGTGGGCGTTCAGCTCACGGACGATGCGTGAATGAGCCAGACACTCAGCTTGCGAAGAATAAAGGGAACGCGGTGTGAAGGCATTGGGAAGAACCTGTTCACAAACAACACACTGGGCCGGGAGGGCGCGAGGACAGATGAGAGAAGGCTCAAGGGGGCGAGGCTGGAACCACTGTCCTCTTCTCTAAGCCCTTGTTTCCTTGAGCTTTCACGGCGCAGAGCACGCGCCGTCCAGCCGAGCAGCTGTGTGTGCCAGCTTCGGGGCCCTGGACACACAGCTCTACACCACATCCTTAGCTAGACGCACTGGGTAAGATAAACATAGCACGCTGGGGATTACTTGGAAAGGAAAAGCACAATTCTGCTGGTGGCACCGCGCATGGCCCATTTTCCTGTGAAGGGCCCCGTCCGTGTTCAGGGCGCAGACCCACGGCTGTCTGGGACTCGGAGGCCGATTGACACAGTTGGGTGCGTGGCCAAGCCGAGGCCGTTCGGGGACATTCAGAGGTCTCGCTACAGAGCTGCCTGGGCTCCTCACCTGGGAGGGCTGGACGCAAGCTCGCAGCCGGCCAACCCCAGACCCCCAAGGGCAGACTCCTCCGGGAGGCACCGCGCTGCGAACACAGAACCCTCACCCACCCTTGTGAGTCACAATCCTTCCCAGTTCTCAGACACGTCATCAGCTTCACTTTCTCCCCAGCTGAGCCAGCGTCAACCCTGCTCCCCGCCGTGCCCTCCTGGCCTTGAGGCCCTGCCAGGTGGCACCGTAGCACGGGGGCGGGTTAAGAGGGATGAACAGGTGTGTGGCCACCTGCCCCAGGGAGGGCGGCTAATGACCTGGGACAGAGCACTGTGTCCAGTCCCGCTGGCTGCCGCTGAGAGCAGTTCCGGAGCTGTGCCCTGGGCCGAGGGGAGGGGCCCGGGCTTGCTGGTCACATGTATCCCCTGTGTCTAGTGTGTAGAACTCGGGAAGCGTTTGCTGAAGCGACGCCGTCGCTGTCTGCAGGGCTCATCCGGTGTCCCAACCACACCTCTTGCTTCTTCCCGGCTCTCCATCAACAGGTCAGGCCAAAGGAGCTGGCCGGCCGGTGGGCAGCAAGCTGCAGCCCGAGGGGTTGATTGATTGAACACCTAGGTTCACAGCCCTGTGCCCACGGGCACCGCGCTGGCAGCTGTTGGCTCCAGAGAGGGCCCGGCAGGCGTGGACGCAAAGCTCGGTGGGGAAGCGCAGGACCAGGGTGGTGTCAGCGGCGCCCGCACAGCCTCTGACGCCAGACCTGTAGAGACCACTGGTGGCCGAGTGCCCAAGAGCAGCCCAGGGGGAAACAGGTTAACCTTGAAAATAGGTGCCCAGAAATAAATTGGTGTTTTAGTTTAATTTTTAGAGTTCTTTGTAAGAAATTCTCTTTTTAAATGTATATTTTCCTTCAAAATATTTTATTCCCTTTAAAATTAGATGCTCCTCCAAGAGATACAGAAATAATATATAGGTGCATCCAATAAAAGGGTACATATGCCCTTCCCTCCCCAAATGCTATTGTCCAGAGAAGAGTTAATGCGAGCGGGTGCACAGTGAGTCTACTGTGCGTTGTGTGTGTGCGTGTACACACACACACGTATCCATTTATATTCCTATATACATACACATATGTAAGGGATTTGCCATAAAAATGGGCTCATATAATTTTACTTTTTAAAAAAAGCAGTGATTTTCAATCCTGGTCTCTATAAAGTGCTCTCACTGAATCGTATCAGGTACTTCCCAGTCTGTCTGTCCGCCACGCGCCAGCAGACCGTTCCCGAAGAGCTGCGTAGTTTCCAGCACTGAGTCTGCCGAGACCCACTTCCCAGACTGGCCCGGCCCCCCACGGGAGCAAACATGCGTGTTGTGCAACGGCGTCGCAGGGCACCGCCGAGGAGAGCCGGTCCCGCTCCCAGCGGCCGGGAGCCAGGAAGATGTGTCAGCCTCTCCCTCTGACGTTCTTTCAGATTTGAGACGCCAGGTTCGACGACGACAGCGGCCGGAGCGGAGGAGACCATAAACTAGGTAAAGTTGACACGGACGGCATCATCTGTTAATAGTTTGGGGACAAAGTTCACATTTTGTGGATGTTTGTGTGTTATGGGAGCAAAGGTGCAAAATTGTCTTTGGAGATTTGCCAGTGCGGTTTAACATCTCCGTGGCTTTGTCTGCACAGACAAAATACCTGGGAAGCTCCGGCGTAATCCCCACGTCCTGCCCCTCACACAGGCCCCGGGGACAGATGCATCCTTGGCCCTCAGCCACCCAGATCGCACCCCCGGCGTCCTCTGCTACTCAGCGCTCGGCTGGGTCTGACTCAGTCGAAAGCGCCACTCTCATTTCCTGGGCTGTGCTGGAGAGCGGGGCTTTCGGTTTCTGTGGAGGAAAATCTGTCTCGGTGGACGTCTGTGGGGCCGGCTGCTCTGCTGGCCGTCGGGTGCTATTCATTCTGCCACCCTGGTGCGGGTGGCGGGCCACGTGTGTGCCCCACACTCTCTGTCTCGTGACTGCGTTATTTTGGGTCCAGCACTCACCACTGTCGAATTAATCTGAGTTCTCTATTTGCCTAGTTGTTTGTTATCTGTTTCCTCCACCGGAATTTAGCCTCTTTGAGAACGGGGACCCCTGGCCCCTTCCTCAGTGTGGTAGCTCCCGTAGCTGTGATGCTATCTGGCAGGGGGCAGAGCCCAAAACCGTTGCGGAAGGATTAGGAAAGTAGGTTCTATATCTAAGGCAGCAGGAGGCTCACTGGAAAGGGAAAAGGAACTGTGCATTAAGAAAACAAAAGGTGCGTGTGTGCATGTGTGTGCGTGTGCATGTGTGTGCGTGTGCATGTGTGTGTGTCCATGTGCATGTGTGTCCATGCACACACGAGCGCTCCATGAGAGCAGGCAGCCCGTGCCAGGCTCACAGCGTTGCCACACTGACCGGGGATGGAAGCAGTGTAAGCCACAGGCCTGCTGGTGTCCCTCCCCCCCGGTGTGGGGTGAGGAGCCTCACCCCGGTCGGTGCCGCTGGTCAGGGGCCGTGCAGACCCCATTGGTCTGGGCTGGGTAGTCCCAGGTGTGTGCTGAGGACCCCTGAGGGAAAGACAGACCCAGAGTCCCAGGAGGTCAAGGACGACTTGGTTTCTGGACGGCCCAGAAACCGCGTGAGGATGAAAGTGTGTTCCGCTGAGCTGGCGCACGGCGTGCTCGGCCCTCGCTGGTGAGCCACGGAAATCAGCGACACAGAGCCTTTCCTGGGGCGCCCTGGCGTTGCCTCAGCAGAGGAAGACCCAGTGCCAGTGCGCCCCCCTCAACTCTGGGGGTCTCTCTAGCCAGGGTCCAGCAGGGTCGTCAGGGTCGTCAGCGAGTTCCGAGATTTTGGGTGCTTTGGAATGTTTGCTGACAGAAAACACTTTCTCAAGCCGTCGCTGTGCTAATACAAACTGTTCTTGCTTTAAACACACACACACGCACACGCACAGAGCACCAGGCGCTTTTATTTCCAAAGCGTGAGAATTCCTAAAGCGGACAATTTGTTCTACTTTTATATACACATTTTTCATCTTTATGTAGATAAAAACCTACCTAACGAATAAGGCACATTTGAATTTATTTGGTGCTGCTTTTATTAAAGATTCCAGATTTAAATGTCAAAAAAATTGATACTAATTTATTAAAAGAGCAAACCGTTGATTAGACTTCCCTTAAGTTAAAAGCCATCTTTAACTTCTCAGCAGGAAGTTTACTGATTGAAAACATGATTCTGTCACACTCAAAACCGCGGAGCCGTGGGCGAGCTCAGTAGCAAAACAGTGGCACCTAGTGGCTGGTAAAGCCCCTGGGGTCGTACAACGTCCTGGGGTCTCCAGAACATTCATTCTTTCAGCTCCTATCAGACGCCGTAGCTTTCATTTCCCCTTCCAGTAAGTGACCATTAGATTCGAGCAGATCTATAAAATAATCTTTTTTGCTCAGGCTGATACAGTTTAGATGCTGTTTTAAGAGGTGCAATGACTACTGGTACCTTTGCATCACGCATGCCCACGTCTCTCCAGCCTGCGGGAGGTTCCCCCGGCCCGGTTCACGGCTCCCGGGGACACAGGGCTAATGACCGGTGCCAGCGCCGAGAGCCCGGCCAGCTTGGGTTTGCAGAGTTTGCCACGCCCTTTCCCGGTCCAGCCACACGTCTGTGGGAACGTGTGAGTCGGGAGCCTGGGCAGGATGGGAGCTTCCCTCTGCTCATGAGGAAGCCACGTCGTGGCCGCCGTACCTGAGACCTGTGCTGGTCACAGGAGCCGTGGTGGTGCCGGCAGACCATCTCTCTCAGAAGAGTTCCATTCCGCTAGAGAGCAAAGGCAGATGGTAACATACACCATTCAGTTCTAAAAATCTCTCTTAACTTAGGTGAAGGGAGGGGCTGAGAGGGAGTCGGCAGGCGCGGTCAGAGCGATGATCCGAGAACTTAATTCCCGGTACAAGTGGGGCAGCTGGAGGGACAGGGCGGGGGCGGCTGGGACAAATGACACAGACCTCTGAGGTCGATCTGTGCACAGCGTGAAGCGCCTTGAGACATACAGGCTGGAAAATGTCCTAGAGCCGGTTAGCAAGTCCTAGCGGTCGGTTCTGGAAAGTGTAGCAACCAAGGGAGAGAGAACAGCAGACAGAGGAAGAAAACATGGAGAAGCTCTTCTAAATGCAAGTCACGTGTGGGTGGCAACAGGCCAGACGGAAGTCAAGCAAAGTGTCAGTATAAAACAGAAGTCAAAGTTTATTGATTGGTAACAAGGTCAGTGCGGAAAATATCCATGTTCTGCTAGGTGTATTTCTTTAGATATTGCTCCAACTGGCATAAGTGTCACCCGGGCTAATTAACATTTATTGGTGATTACTATGTGTCAGGGGTTCCAGAGGCTTCCAGAATTATTAGCCTCTTGAACTTTCGCAGTGCTCCTTTTTTGAGAGGAAACTGAGGTTCAGGGAGTAACGTGACCCCTGAGACCACCCAGATAAGAAGTCACAGGGCTAGGACGTGAACCTGCAGAGCTCCTCTGTTTCCGTGGCTGCTGGCCGCAGCACGCGCATGGCTAATACATTTTGCGAGACTGTGTTGTTCTTGTGTCTGCATAAACATGATAATCCGTGTTCAGTCAATACACAAAATATCATTGTCATAAAACTTTCCACTGGAATCAGTTAAGCGTCAAGAACTTTGTCCCACTTACCACTGGCCGTGCAGCCCGAAGGGGACGGCGCCGTCCTGGGCGCGTGGGGGTGGCCAGAGCTGCAGGGTTTGCCTTCCAGGTCCAAGCTAGACAGAAAGGGTCGACTTCACAGAGCTTTGGACTCAACCTGCAAGCATCGAGTTATACTAACACTGGAATAAAAGGTGATTTTTCTTGCTTATTAGCTGTGAGTTTGGGGTAAGTTGTTTAAAGCTCTAGAGCTGCCCTATCCAACCCAGTAGCCACGAGCCACTTGTGCCCATTTAAACTTTCATTTTAATTAGCTAAAATGAGATGCAATTATGATTCGGCTGCTCAGATACCCCAGCCTCGTTTCCAGTACTCCACAGGCACATGTGGCTCGTGGCTACTGCACTGGATGACATCGATATAGACCTAAAGCACTAAAATCACTTCGATTTTCTGCAGTTCAGTGTCATGCCTTGTAACGGGTCTCAGATTGGTAATGACAATTATCGTAGGATTGTTGCAGTTAACATGAAATGATGCACATAAAAGTGGTTTGCATGTTGTAAAGTGCTGTACTCAAGGTTTTTTTTAAATTATTGTAGTGTTATAAAACCATATCGTCTTTGCAATACTGAGACTTTGGCCCAGGATCTTATAATCACGTTAGCTCTTTTTCAGAAGTTGGACCGTGTATCTTGACGTTGGCGTTTATGCTTTGTTCTTTAAGACTGAAGTCTACACTCTGCACCGCTGACGATTTCTCTTAATGTGGAAGGTACCATGATACGTGCATATAAAATATACAAGTTATATTTTACCATGAGGGCCATGTCTGCTAGAGATTAACAGGAAAAAGTAGAATTACAGACCAGCTGGTCCATCTTCATCTTTTGCCCCTAAGGAGGGGGCTACAGCGGACACAGAGCAGGTGAATGAGTAACAGCCCTCCCCGCGCCTCCTGGGCCAGCGACAGCCAAGCTCGCTAACTAGCAGCAGCCTTAATGACTAACACGTCCAGCTCAAGGGACAGGGAGCATGGGACTTCCAGGGACAGACTATTTCTCATGTGCACCAACTGGCTTCTTTTAGGGAGCAACAAATTTGCGCGTCCGCTGGCGGTCGGCACGGGGAGGGGCACGATGGAAAGGAGTCTGAGGAACGTCCTCGTGTTGTCCTCTGGGTTCCTGCTCCTCTTCACAGCCTACGGAGGTCTGCAGAGCCTGCAGGTGAGTGCGCAGACATCACGCTGTCTCGACTTCGGAGCGTCTCTCGGCCTCCGAGGATCCTCGTGGTCACAGACGGCAATGAAATGGAATTTCTGTACGTCCGCCGAACCCAGCATTTCCTCCTCGCCCCCCGAAAGCTCCTCTAAAACAAGCAGCGGTTTGTGTGTGCAATCATCCTACACTACTGTCCCCACTCCCGCCCCCAGAGGTCACGCAACAGGGTAGCGTGTGTGGCTCTCGGACGAGGAGAGCAAGGGTCTTGGGACAGTGATTTGATGAGACACTCTTTGCCTTTGGGTGGTCGGAAAGAGACACAAGAAGAATCGTTGTGAATTCTACGGTTCCACGCCCTTGCCTTCGTGGTCAGGGGCAGCAATGTGAATTTATCAAATTTCACTGGACCTCATAGATTCCAAGGCTGCCTGAAACAAAACCATGAACTTTGACAAAATCGTCTCTGTATATTTTAAACTTTGCGGTATGTTTTCCTCCTCGGGTCTCTGAGCCCACGTGAAAACCTAACAGCATTCTCTGAAGGGCTGCAGCACATGTGTGCCTAGAAGTGGATTTGACATATTTTCCCGAGGTAGTTACTTGCAAGTCTGACCTTTAACTGGGAGTAGAACCTCCAGGGAATTCCAGGGATTGGCCAGGAAATCAAGCTGTCATCGTCCCCCTGGGCACATTTGTCACCCAAGGCCGTGCATTGGGGCTTGGGGCTGTCACATACAAAACAGCTTTAGAGCTTCTGATGACAAGTTGATATGGTCTTGCATGATTTGTCAATCAAGAACAAGAATTAGGCTCCTACTGTGTGCACGGTACTGAACCAGAGAAGCACACCCAGGAGTTCTGTTCTCACTGTGTGCAAAGGCTTTGGACGCGGAGGCTGGCAAGGAGGGTCACACGCAGCCCTGAGTTCTCAAGTGCGTGTTTCCTTTGGCAGGACTCGGTTCGGTCCTGTTTCTGATTAGGCTCCCAGGGGATGAAGTGACAGCCATGGTGACCCTCACAGTCAGCTGGCAGGGGAGGCACCTCCTTTCTTGCCACGACAGTTCACGACTCCTGGAGTCCGTGCCTCCCCAGGCTGCGTTGGCGTGTGTGGCGCCCGTTCTGTTGTTATGTTGAATGTAGTTGGCGTGTGCTTTCTGGAAGGAGAGCTGCTCCAGGGCACGACCAGCCAGGACGCTTCCCTTTAGGAAGCTTGCTAAATGACCCCCTTTAGGGGTCCTGCTGGCGGGGCCGGGGCTGGCAGTGGGGAGGTCAGAGTTCTCAGGAAGCAGCCTGTGGAGCTGGCACCGCCCGGCCGACCGACTGCACGTTGGCCTCTCGACTTGGAGACCGGAGGGAAAAGGAGGGCAGGAGGGTCTCAGAGGCTGCCAGTGTCCCTTCTCTCGGTGGTGCTGGCAGGATTCCAGGGTACAGACAAATTGTGCCTGCCAGGACCCCAGGACACTCATTCACAGCACCCCCTGCAGCAGCTCCCTCCCTCAACCTCTGCTGGGGGCCTCCTACTCATCAGGTGGTCTCAGCTCAGAGGTCGCCCCCTTCTCCCTGCCCGCGCCCTGGAGCCGAGGTCTGGACGTCTGCGCACTTCTGGTGTCGGGGCCGCTCGTTACGGCACGCGCCTGCTCACTCTCCACCGGCAGCCGTGGGCTGTGCATTCCGGGCTGCAAGGACCACGTCAGCGAGTCGGTCACCACATGCCCCACGCCTCGGGCAGTGTTGGACACACAGAAGGTTCTCCACGAATGTTTGGTGAATGAAGAACTCATTCCTGCTCCTTGACCTGCTGAAAGCTCTCAGGGCTCCCGTGATCTTGGAGAGCCCACCCAGGTCCCCAGGAGGGCGCGGGCCCCCACGGCCTAGCTCTGGCAGACCCCAAAGCCACATCTTGCCAGAAGTGCTTGGCTGCTGGGGCAGAGGCCGCCGAGTGTTCCGCACTGTCTCTGGCTCCAACACGCTCCCTGGAGGACACCCTCTCCCTCACCTGCACCTCCCACCTCTGTCCCTCCCTCTCAGCGGCCTCCAGTCCCGCCAGACAGCCTTTCACTGACGCCCTCAGCTCCTTGGGGGTAGCCTCGGTTGTAATTTCCCCCGTATCACTGAGCCTCTAGTGGCACGGGCTTCATGGCCGTCCTGTCGAATGAGCGGAAGGAATGATGTGATGGTTCGCACCAGGAGGTCTTAGGAAGTTCAGTGCACACATGTGCTTATTCCATGCGTGTGTTTTGCAGGCTGGCTCTCCTAACACATGCAGACACAGGTGTTTGGATGTGGTCATGCACATAGAAAAGGACATTTGCTTTTAAAATTTTGTTCCTACTGTGGATATTGGGATCTGTCTTCCTTCTCCGTGGTTTGCGATCGAGTTCCACTGTACACGGCAAATGCACTCTGCCGGTCCGCGGCGGCGCTGCGGGTGGTGAAGACTTTCCGACGCAGGGAAATGCTGCGTTTCCGTCAACACACGCAGAGGCAGCAAGCTCATTAAAGTATTTGATGCTCATGAGTATTTAATGCAAAATATTAGGAAAACAAAGGCTTGGGCTGAACCAACTCTCTATACTCCTGACAACTTGAGCTATAAATAGAAATTTCCAGATAACCCCCACTTCAGAGGATAACGTTCAGTTTCCATCTTCCAACCCGATTTCAGAATTTCTATGGGACTAGCCATTCTTGCTTTTAATTGGTTTTAATTAACCACCAAGAAATATTATTAAGCACCTGCTTTGGACAAGGCACTGGGAGAGATTTTAAAAAGTAGTGTTTCCCTGCCCTCAAAGCGATTGCAACCCAGTTGGGGTGATGGGGAGATGGGCAGAGGTCGAGTTGCTGGTCCAGAGAAATTCTAAGCAAGATCAAAGAGGAGACCTCCGGGCACAGTGGCATTCGGGGAGGGCTGAGGGACCTTCTCCTGTGTTGGAAGATGGGTGCGGTTTGGAGGGAGAGGATGAGGCTGCACCCGGCGTGCTGAGGGGCAGGGGTGAAGGGGGAAGAAGAGGGAGCTGGGGTGGGTGGCGCTGCGTGAGCCATCAGTCCGGGTGTCTGGACTCGCTAGTGGACAGGGAATGATGGACGGAGGGCTGTTCTAGAAGGTGGAAGCCAGAAACATGGTGCGGCTCTCTTGCTACAAGACACTCTGTCTTGTGGTTGGGAAGACCAAGTAGCAAGGAATTTTAGTAGTGTTAGGGGTTGGGTTCTGTCCCCCCAAGTTGCATATGTAGAAACCGTAACCCCCAGGACCTCGGCCGTGACTGCGTGTGGAGTTGGGGCCTGGACAGAGGTGATGGAGTTAGAACAGGCCCTTAAGGTGGTCCCGATCCCGGGCGACTGGTGTCCTTACGAGGAGAGATTAGGACACAGACCACAGACGAAGACCACGTGAGGCCGTCTGCAAGCCCAGGAGGGAGGCTCCAAAGTGAACCGACCCTGGCCCCTTGGTCTTGCTCTCCTGGACTCTGGCACACGGAGGAAAGGAGTCCTGCTGCCTGCGTGACCGTCCAGTCCGCGGTACCATGTTAGGGCGACCCTGCAGACTGAGCACCAGGCACCAAGATAATTGGCTTTCGGCTCATCAGATCTGGGCCAAGGTCCTGCTCTCCCTCTCACCAGGTGACATCTCCGTCACCGTTCCTAGGGGTCTAATGACACGTCTCTCAGCCGTGACAGGGTGGCGCCCGAGCTGGAAGCTCTTGTTTCTGTGTCTGGCCCGTTGCTGGCACTAAACGGCGACTACCTGGGAAGGGGGATCTGGCCTCCGGGGTAAGAGACCCCACCTGAGCCACTCTCCCTCTGGGGTCCGGCAGCGGTGTCCAGGGGAGGGGCTAGCCAGCTGCACATGGGGGAAGCACACGGAAGTGGGGGGCAGACCCCTTCCTCTCTCAGCTTCCTCCTCTTCGTCTTTCCCTCTTACACATGAAATAAAAGGAAGAAACGATTTTGCTGAGTTTTCTGCCACTGTCAGGCCCCAGTGCCGCCCTTGCGATGCCCTGTGCCAGCCGGTTCCCTGCCGGCCTGTGACACCTCAGCTGAGCCGCAGGCAGGTGTCCACAGAGCACGCGGCCTCCCAGCGGCCGCCCCGGCCCAGCACAGGCACCGTCCCCCGCCTGGTGTCCGGAGCGCCGACTCGCTGTAACCGGGTTTTGCCTGCGGCCTCCTCCCACCAGCTGGGGCAGTGAGGCCTGGTGCCGGCAGGCCCAGGGGACACACAGCGCCCGGTCCCTCCTGACGGCCAGTTTTGTCCCCACAGAGCAGCCTGTACAGCGAGGAAGGCCTGGGCGTGACGGCGCTCAGCGCGCTGTACGGCGCGGTGCTGCTGTCCTCCATGTTCCTGCCGCCGCTGCTCATCCGGAGCCTGGGCTGCAAGTGGGCCGTCGCCATCCCCATGTGTGGCTACGTGGCCTTCTCCCTGGGCAACTTCTCCGCCAGCTGGTACGGCCGGGCCCTCGGTACCGTCCCCGCGTCTCTCTCAAAACATGCTCTGCGGCCCCCAACCCCCCACTTCCCAGCGGGACCACATGGTGGTTTCTTCCTGTTCCCACCAGGACGCCTCTGGCCCCTGCTGGCCCCACCTTTCCTGCCCAGTCCCTATCCCGGGCTCTTCCTGGGATCCGCCCTGGGCCTCCGCTTCCCTCTCTGCACCAGGGAACGTCTCTGGCCCCAGTAACGACAGGGAGAATCTAACGTGGACACCGGGGTGAGTCTCACAGAGACAGCCAGGATGCAACCACTGGACCAAACCCTGTACCCTCAGCCCATCCTTAGCAGGCGGGCGCGGCCCGGCTGGACACAGGGACCCTGTCTGAGGTCCACCTGCTCCCGGCTGAGACAGCTGTGCAGAGACCAAGCCCCGGGGCCTCGGGCTGCCTGCCTTGTCCCCAGGAACACTTCCACCAAGCACCTCTGGACTGACCCAGGACGTGCTGTTTACGATGCTGCATCCTTCCTTTCTTATAGCTCGAGTTTTCACATGACCCCCTGTTGAGAGGGCTGAGCCCATCCAATGATCAATCACCTCTTAATGTGAAGCTGTTAGAAATACCTAGAAACCGCCCACCTTCTCTGTGCTGCTTAGCGCGAGCTTTGCAGTTGCATCCAAATAAAAAACTCCGCTGACCTTGAACTTCACTCTCACAAATGACCCTGGACCAGAAATGGCCCTGCGTTCACTCACTCATCAGAACCTGACGGGGAATCCACCGGTCCAACCCGTCAGCGCACAGTGACGCCTGCGGCAGGCCAGGCACGCGGTTTCCTTCTCCCAGCCACACGGAGGAGGGACAGGGGACGCAGGTGCCACGTGTTTGCCTCTCGTCCCACAGGTACACTTTGATCCCCACGTCCATACTGCTGGGGCTCGGGGCGGCCCCCCTGTGGTCTGCCCAGTGCACGTACCTCACGATCGTGGGCAACGCGCACGCAGAGAAGGCGGGGAAGCTCGGCAAAGACGTGGTCAACCAGTACTTCGGCATCTTCTTTCTCATATTCCAGTCGTCCGGCGTGTGGGGCAACCTGATCTCCTCTCTGGTCTTTGGCCAGACCCCCAGTAAAGGTAAAAGGGCCGGCGGCAATTGCTCCAAAGTGGAGCAGGGTCTAGCGCTGGCTGCGGAGGGGTCGCTGGTTCCACTGGCGCACCTGTCTCCGTCCCGTCACGTGGGCAGGTGAGCAGGCCCCACACAGTGATCCGCGACCTGCCCGTGGCCCTGTCACCAGGTCCTGCTTGCCACTGGGCAGTCACGTGGGTCTTAAGGTCCGTGTCCTCCAAGGGGCAGGGGAGCCCCAGGGAAGGGCCTGTGGGGGAACTGCCGGAGGAATTTGGGTTCGTGGAGTCACAGCTACCCTTTTAGACTGTCTACCAATGGGTTTGCCTGATTTACTTTCCTACCAACCTGACATCCACTGCCCAGTTTTCCAAGTGTTGCGTGTTGGATCCTTTCCCCTTGACTCCTGTGAACAGTGGACGGGCTGATGCCTTCATTCACCGTCTCCACCCGACCCTGCCAGACACGCTTTCAAGCGTGTCTCTGTTTCAGTGCCCATGTTGAGGATTTAAACCAAAGGCAGAGGAAAGAAATCGCTTCAGTCTTACTGGAAACTTTTCCCCACGGGGCAGAAAGCACTGACCCTCCCGAGTGGGATCAGGCTCTCCGCCTGCGATCCCTGTAAAACCCACCCTTGGGAAACGTGGTAGCCAAGGCCGCCTCCCTCTTTCTCATACGGCGTCGTCCTTGCTACATGCACCTGGAGAAGGGGAGCCACCGGGCTAGAGCGTCTCAGCCATGACGCGCGAAACGGCGACGAAGCTTCGGTCTGCGTCGTGACCGCGAGGGTGGGGTGACAGGGAGTGCTGATGCTTGCCAGGACGTGGAAGGCACTTTGAGGGCCTCGAGGGGCTTCTCCGCCGTTCCACGCCCCTGACCCCCTGACGGCCGGTCCCTGGCACTGCTCCCTCGCCAGCCCAGGAGACGGGAAGTTGTGTGTATGAGAGTCGTGTTGTCAAGACAGCAGACACTGAATACTCCCCAGTGCCTGCTGACGGGGAGTCTTCCGTAGTTCGCATTTTATTCTTCGAACAGACCAGGGAGCTATGAAATCACCTCCCAGAGTCATGGAACCGGTTACAGTGAAAGAGAACCCAGTATTCTTGACACTCAATTTGATGTGCTTTCTTCTTTTTGACTAATTTTGAGGAGTTGAGAAATTTTAGTTATGTCGGGAAAGTAATATAACAAATAACCAACATTTAATCCATGTTTGTTCTTCTCTGAATCTCTGCATAACACTGATACGATTCTCTGCCTCCCAGCTGAAGCATCTTAAAGTCAAGTCTACAGACACGTGCCTTGGGGTAAATGTGTTTAGAGACCCTGGTCATTCCACCCTGACGTGGAGTGTCCACCCTCCTTTCCGCTGGCTCGTTCATTCCTCATTCCTGTCCGATTATTAGCACCTGTCTTCTCATATCGCCTGTTTGCCATGAATTCACAGACGCCATCCCGGAGGAGCAGCTCGCATCCTGCGGGGCCAGGGACTGCCTGATGGCCACCACACCCAGCAACAGCACCCAGCGCCCCTCCCCGGAGCTGGTCTACACCCTGCTGGGCATCTACACCGGTACGTGCTCCACGACCCAGCGCCTAGTCCTGAGCAAAGCAAAACCAAACCTCCTTCCTGTGTTGACAGAGACCATCTCCTACAGCGTAAAATTCCTTCATCTGAAAAATCCTTGAAAAATGTGTTGGACTGGATCACATGCAGGTATTTTCCTTAAAAAGATCAAATGCAGTGGACCGGTGCTGTCTAACGGCACGTCCTGCGGTGATGGGATCGTTGTACTTCTGCATCTAACACAGCAGCCAGGTCTAGGAATATCAGCTTTGTGAATCTGGGTGCTCCAGAACTGGGTACATGCATATTTGAAATTGTTATGTCCTCTTGCCAGATTGATTCCTTTATCATTCTACGACGACCTCTTTTGCCTTTTTTTTTTTTTTTATTGTTTTTGACTTAAAGTTTGTTTCTATCTAATACAAGTATCACTACTACTGCTCACTTGTGGTTTCCATTTGCATGGAATATCTTTTTCCATCTCTTAACTTTCATCCTGTTATATATGTGTCTTTACAAGTAAAGTGTGTTCCTTGTAGACAACATATCGTTGGATCTTACTTTTTACCTGTTCTGCCGTTATGCTTTTAAGTGGAGAGTTTAGTCCGTTTACACTCAAGGTCATTACTGACGTGGGAAATGCTGCCCCCGTCAGTACGTTCTTTGTTCCTTCCTCTCTGGCTTATCCGGTGTACTCACGGTTTGGTGGTCTCTGTAGCGGTGCCATCCGAGTCTTTTCTCTTCTGCAATCGTGTTTGCCTTGCCACTGAATTTCAGACTTTCTTGTGCTTTCACGATGGCAACTGTCATCTTTTGTTTCCAGGTTCCGGCCTCCCTTGACCATTTCTTACAGGGCTGGTCTAGTGGGGCTGAATTCCCTTAGCATCCACTTCTTTGGGAAAACTTTATTTCTCCTTCATTTATGAAGGATGATTTTGCTACTTATAGTATCCTTGGCTGGAAGGTTTTTTTTTCCTTTCAGCACTTTGAATATATCATTCCATTCTCTTTTGGCCTTTAGGGTTTCTGCCGAGAAGTCCACTGTTAGTCTGATGGGAGTTCCTTTATGGGTGACTAGATGCTCTTCTCTTGATGCTTTTAGAATTGTCTTTTTCTCTAATTCTAGACAGTTTGACTATAATACGCCACGGGGAATACCTTTTTGCACTGTATCTGTTTGGGGATCCCTGGGCCTCCTGTATCTGAATGCCTAAAGCTTTTGCTAGACTTGGGACGTTTGTACCTACTACTTCATTAAAGAGGTTTTCAAAACCTTTTTGCTCTCTTTGCCCTCTGGGATACTGATAATTCATATATTTGGGCATTTTATGGTGTCTGATATATCACAAAGGCTTTGTTGATTCTTTTTTATTCTTTTTTCTTTATTTTTGTCTGTCTGAGTTATTTTAAAAGACCTCTCTTCAAGATCTGAGATTCTTTCTTCTGCTATATCTAGCCCATTGTTGAAGCTTTTGAGTGTATTTTGTGTTTCATTCAGTGAACTCTTCAGTTTCAGAATTTGTTTCATTTGTGTGTGTGTGTGTGTGTGTGTGTGTGTGTGTGTGTGGTATCTATCACTTTGGTAAGTTTCTCATTCATATCTTGAATTGTTTTTCTAATTTCTTTGTATTGATTTTTGGAATTCTTTTGTATCTCACTGAGCTTATTTAGTATTGAAATTTTGAATTCTTTTTTCAGTCTTTTCTGAATTTCTTTTCATCGGAATCTGTTGTTGAATTATTGAGTTCTTTGGTGTCACATGTCCTTGCTTTTTAATGTCTCCTGTGCCCTCACATTGATATTTATGCATCTGGTGCAACAGTTGCTTCTTCCAATTTTTTGAATTTGATTTCACAGGGAGAACATTTTCTGGAAGACATGTCAGTGGTGCTGGGTGGGCAGGACCGTTTGGCTTTGATTCCAGGCACCTGCACTGGTGTAGTTTCCCTATGATTTCTTCAGCTGCAACGGCATCGGTGGTATCTGTGATTTTTTTCAGTGGCTTAGGGTGCAGTTATCAGAGGAGATTCTGGTGACGTTTTGCTGGGGACAGGGATGCCAGGTGTGCCAGTCTTCAAGCTCCAGTGGTGGCAGTGAAGGGCTGCACATGCCTGTTCTTGGGCCCAGGATAGCGTATGATGGCACCGGCATTAGTGGGCCCAGGCTAGCCGATTCTCCGGCCTCCAAGTGCTTGCTCAGGTGCCAGTAGTGGCAGTGTCGTACCAGGTAAGTAGACGACGTGTTCTTGGGCCCCTGGGATGCTGGTGTACGGATGATGGCGGTGGCTCACGTTGGAGCACGGAAGTCCTGCTGCTGGTTTGGGCTGGCTGCTGTCAGCGGTGCCCTGCAGGCAGTTCCCAGGCTCCAGAGAGCAGGCACCCTTTCTCCTGCAGTAGCAGTGGCCACAGTGGTGGTGGTGGGGGGGGCCTGTGCTCAGGACGTGCACTAGAGCACAGAGGCCACCCCTGGCGTGGGTGGGGTTGGCACCCACAGCCACAGACAGGGAGCGCCCAGGTTCTGGGCAGCACTTGCGTGGGTTCCTGGCTGCAGCAGTGAGTGCAGCATTGTGAAGACGGGGACAGATCCTGCCTGCTGTGCATAGGACCAAGCACAGAGACCTTGTTGCCTGTGGGGGCACGGCGACATCGCCACCCACTGCCCCAGACACGCAGCTCTCGGGCTTGCCCACTCTCAGCAGCAGCAGTGGCCACAGCGCAGAGAGAGGAAACACAGTGCAGAGTCGGGGAGGGACTGCGCCTTCTGGTCGCAAGCCGAACACGGAGGCAGGGCCACCGGTGGGGGCACCGCTGCTGCTCACAGCCCCAGGCAGGCAGTCCCCTGGCTTGCTCGCCAGTCCCTGGGGCGGCAGCAGCCTCTGTGGCTGTGGCGGTGTGTCGGGGAGGGATTCCACTCTCCGAGTGCAAGTCCCTGCCGCTCTGGGAGGCCGAGTTGCATCTCACAGCCCCAGACAGGAGCTCTCGGGCTCAAGGAAGCATGCACTCTGTTTCCCTTGTCCCCGGGGTCCGGTCCCCTTCCTGGTGTGCCACACCGTCCTTTTCCTGGGAAGTAGTACTCCTTGTGGCTAGAGTGCTGGGGACCCCGCAGCACCTCTGGGGCCAGCCAGCACTGTACCTTCCAGGTGGATGCTGGGGCATGCCAGGGGGGCCCTGAAATGTGGAGCTATGGGGGCTGGGGTTTCCAGGGCAGGGCGCGCTCCAGTGGCAGCTGTACTCTCACAATGGCACCAAACTGCAGCCACTTAGGTCTTAGGGGGGTGTGTGACCCAGCAGGAGTCCCCTGCCTGGTGCAAGGCCCTCGCAGGGTCTCCAGGTCGCCGGGCTGGCCCGTCTCAGTTCGTGTGGGCAGAGGCGCTCTCCATGCTCGGGACTGCGGCGGAGCGCGGTGGACGTGGACCGCAGAGCGCCGCTCGCCTCTTTCTCCTGTGCTTAGGACCTTCCGCGTCTTCTCTGCTGAGCCCCAGGGCTCTCTCCAGGCTGCTCTGCTCAGGTGTGGCCTCTAGTCACAACCTCGCTTCTTTTCGGAGAGGAGAGTGTCCGATCTATGACTTAACTCTCATATTCAAAGAGTTATTACTGCTTTGAAAAGGATACATTGAGAGGGGTTTTTTAATGATTCCGAGGGAAATTTATATATATTCTTTGTCATTCTTGAATTTGGGAATTGATGAAGGCCTTGTAACGTGTCCTTAAAGATCAAAGTTCTGGTACATGTCAGACCCGGGGAACAGAGTCCAGCACCGTCCTGGAAATCAGAGGCTGGAAGGTTAGCACGCACAGCAGACCTCTGTCCTCAGGGAGGGACAGTGAGCTGCCACCAGCACTCAGGCCCCTGTAGAGCCACCTCCAGATCAGAGGTTGCGAGTGTGCCCCCGTGAAATGTTCATCCAGATGGAGCAGGCACGCTGAGCGCTGGCGTGCGTCGGGCACCGTGCTAGAGACCAGAACCGCAGCATCGACAAGGTTAGAGTCCAGTGGAGGAGACAGAAATGCACTCGGCTAACCGACGTCTGACGGAACACGTGTTGCAAACAGCTTCCAGGTGGCACGTAGCTACGCCTTCCTGGGTAATTCCGGGCCTGGGCTGTGGGTGCTGACGCAGCTGTCTCTGCCTTCCTCTCAGGGAGCGGGGTGCTGGCCATCCTGCTGATAGCTGTGTTTCTCGAAAACATAGAAGACACTCAGCGAGAAGGTGGAGGAGAGAAGAAATCAACGCCTTTTTGGTCCACGTTGCTGTCAACCTTCAAGCTGTTCAGAGATAAGCGCCTGCGCCTCCTGACGCTGCTGCCATTGTACAGCGGCCTGCAGCAGGGCTTCCTCTCCGGCGAGTACACCAGGGTAGGACAGAGCAAGAGCCACGTGCTCACGCGACGCATGGCGTCACTGCCGTGCCCGTGTCTGCGCCTACAGGGGCGGCGGATTCTCCGGCCACCCTCCCAGCCCAGCTGGTGGGAAGAGTTTACGGCTCAATGTGTAGCATCCAAGTAACCAGCTCACGGGAGCTGGGACTCCTTATCTCAGGGGACACTCCTTGCTTGATACGAGTCTCCCGGGGGGGAAAGAGGGCAGAGCTGTCAGACGGGCGGCTGTTGGTGACTCAGCTCCAGGATCTCCCTACGCCCTTGCTTTAGAGCTCACGAGGGAAGGGCACAAAATCCATGAATAGCATAGACGTTCCTTACCGCTCCGGTTTTCAAACTGGGCCCTACAAGAAAGCAGTGCGGCCACGCGGGTGCTGTCTTCCTGTCCCCTCCAACCCCCTTCTCCCCAGGTGAGCACTGCCCGGCCACTCCGTGTGTAAGGGGAGGCCCCTGCGGGGGCTGACCGGAGCGGCACAGGACGCTGGGCACACAGTGGCAGTCTGGCTCCAGAGTCGGCACAATCAGAGCTCCACCCAGCTCCCTGCAGCGGCCTCTGTCGCCCCGGTTTGCCTGCCAGGGTGCTGTCCTATTCTGAGGAGGCTCTCCATGCTTGGAAGGTGCCCCGCAGTGCGGCTTTGTTCTAAAAGCCCACCCCGCAGTAGATGAGAGCCGAGGTCCTCGCCCCCCACACGTGCTGGACAGGAGACGGGGCACGCAGGGGCTTGGCCTGGGCGTCTGCCTGTGCCCTGCGCCTGCCCTCCGAGGTGCACCCTCCCGAATGGAGACCCTCCCCGGCCCCCACCGCGACTCCCGCCCAGTCAGGGCTGCCACCTTAGCGAGATAAAAACGCAGCACAGTCACCCTGAATCTCGGGGGGACCTCAGACGCCCTGTAGGGCAGGTGTGTCCCGCCCTAGCGGGGTGTCCTGGATTTACCTGGCAATGCTGCCCTTAGGGCGGCCTCGGTGGAGAGTCTCAGGGGCTCGAAAGAGAAAAAACAAGATAACAAAAAAGTCCACTTGGTGTTTTGGATACGTGCCCCCCGTCGGACTTTTCACTGCCCCCGCGATTGGCTGCAGTGAGGCCTGGTGGTCCCCAGCCCCCTTCCGGAGCCCGTCCTTGGCTCCACTCAGAGACAGGAGGGCGCTGGGACAGTGAGAGGACGTCTGGGCACAGCCGGCCATGCGGGCTGCCCAGCGGGTCGCTGTGACGGTCGAGGGGCCTGGGGTGCTTTTCTACCTCCTGGGCTCTGACACAGAGCTTCCCTCTGTTTCTCTCCATCTTCTCCTGACTGTCGCACTAGGGGACAGCCAGCGTACATTAGCCTCCGCGTGACATAACGCGTGTGTCGCGGCTTGTGGCTAGAGATGTACGGGGAGGAACTTTGTCCAGACATCTGTCCAAACTGCTCCTGTTCAGTCTGTGCCCCAGAGAGGATTTCCTCCCGAACGGCGACATCGTTCTCTGCCCTGGGAGCCGCGTTAGCGCACCCGCAGCCGCCGGTCCGGCTTCCTAAGCTCGGGCCCCAGAGGAGCCGAGAGCATGTGTGACCCGCTGTCTTCTTCCCCCAGTCCTACGTCACCTGCGCCCTGGGCATCCAGTTTGTCGGCTACGTGATGATCTGCTTCTCGGCCACCAACTCGCTGTGCTCCCTGCTCTACGGGAGGATCTCCCGGCACACAGGCAGGATCGCACTCTACGCGCTGGGTGGGTGAGGCATGTGTGTTGGTGCTGGTGGGAGGGGTCCGAGAAACCGCTTTGAAATCACAGAGCCCTGCACAGCCCCCATCCGTTCATGGCTTCCTCCGGTCCACAGACCAACGGGAGTTGCATTTCTCCTCCGCCCCAGGCTCTGGGCAGGCTCTGCGCCCAGCACGCACCGCACGGCACGGGGAGCGGAGCACTCCTGCCAGCCGGTGCTTCCTCCATGTGGGGCCCAGCGGAGCACGACCAGGGGGCAGGCGGGGTCAGTGCAGGGTTTTGTGGAGGCAAAAAGGAGGGACCCTGAGCCTGTCCCGGGTCCTGGGGGAGGCGGGGGCCTCCGGAGGGCCACGCTTGGGTCGTGGCAGCTTTGTTCACAATTGTCTATTCACAAAGTGGGTAAAGATGAGCTTTTCATAGCTGGTGGACTCCACTCTAAACACATAGCACTCTCCATTTTTCCCGGAAGTGAAGGAAAGAGAAGAAACGCAGACGGTGTGAATCGTGAGAAACAGGGCATTAGGGAGACAGCGCCCCAGGTCCCAGGCAGGGCGGGTCCGAGGAGGTGTCGCAAGAGGCAGAGAAACAATGAGCCTTGCCGGTGCCTGTGAAGGGCCGAGCGCTTAGCACGTGGCCTATTCGATCTTCACAACCACCCTGTGTAGCAGACGGTGCCCATTTTACAGGCGAGGAAATTGAGGACCAGAGAAGAGCAGTGACTCGGCCAAGATCACACAGCCTTGGGGAATGTGGGGTGGACCCGTTTTTCTGGCTCCAGAGACCCTGCTCTTTCTGCTCCTGCAGTCTCTGGAGGTCACGGAATGTCCTTGTTGCTCCAGTCTAGAGACGCCACAGGGTTTGCTGAAATCATGGGGTCAAATGTTAGGACCCACTGGGCCACAGGTGGGAACAGACATCTGCCTGGGGGCCGTACCCTGTTTGGAAGCACAGGTGGCCACATGGAGACAAGGCGCAGAGTGTCGCCTTGCAGCTGGTCACGTGCACACCTGTCAGCTCACAAACACGTGTCCGAGGCCCCCCCGAGGAGACCACTTGGGGGCATCGTAGGGAAACATTATTTAAGCACGAAGCACATGTTGAGGAAGACCCCGGCTCCGCTCTGCTGACCTCTCTGAGGCTGCGGCCACCTCAGCCGGGGACCGCAGCCCCTCACGGCCGCGGGCTTCCTCCCTCTGCACGCAGGTGCGGGCACCCAGCTCTGCTGCTCGATCGCCCTCCTGCTGTGGACGCCTCACCCTGACCAGCTGGCTGTGTTCTTTGTGTTCCCCGGCCTGTGGGGCGTGGCGGATGCCGTCTGGCAGACGCAGAACAACGGTGAGCGTCCCCCACACGCCCCTCTCCTCTGCAGGTCTCCTCGGCACCTCCCTGGTGCAGCCACCCACGCAGAGCGCTGAGCAGGGCCAGGGGAGCCCCGTCAGACGCGGTATGCTCGAGCCAGGAGAGGTGAGTTGAGAGACAGAACGTAACGGGTGGCCTGGAGGGCTTCGGAGTCACACTCTGGTGTGAAGTGTTTGCTCTGAGCGTTTACTCGGATCCGTGATGCAAGGAAGGACCCCCCGCCGCCCCCCACCAGTTCCCTTGTGACATGGTGTCCTCAGGATGGACACTGCCCAGCTCAAGTAGAGGTGCGGCCTCCAGCCCGGGCAAAGGCTCTTTCCTTACAATGACAATCCCTCCTGACTTTGGCCACTATTAGGGCCTTTCTGAGCACAGGACCGAGTCCCCGTGCACCTGGGGCTGGGATAGACGGATGCTGAGCGCTGCCAGGAGCACCCAGTCGGGTGGGGAAAGTCAGCGCTGGCGGCAAGGAGTGTCACGGCGGCTGGATCAGCATCTGTGCCGGGTGCCGCAGAGGTTCGGGGGCAGTGGTGGGTTTTCTGGGGGTGTGGGGGTGGGGGACCCCCTGGGTGGGAGCGGCAGGGGAGGGCAGGACAGGCTTGTCCCACAGTCACGCTCCTTCGAGTCTTGGCGATTGTTGTCTAGGTGGCTGATGCAGGAGGTGGCTGGTGTAGGAGGTGGCCTGGGGTTCCCTGGACTTTCTGGAGTGTAAGAGGCTGGCCTGGGGTTCCGTGGCCTGCTGGGGGGTAAGAGGGTGGCCGGGTGCCTGTGGGCGGGCTGGGCAGGGCTGGCGTGCCTGGGAAGGAGTCGTTTTCCCACTGAGGGGTGGCCAGTCAGTGGCTGTGGGTCGCTCTGGTGGCGCTCCCAGGACACGGGGCTTGGCGACTTGACACTCGGTGGAGGAGAGCAGCCGGCGAGCGGAGGATCTGGTTGAGTGGCCAGGGCGGCTCTGGCTGGGCGTGGGGGTTGTCAAGGCTTCTCTTTTGTTGTCTTTTGACTGCAGCTCAGGGCTGGGACGGAGAGGGAGGACCCAGAGAGGGAAGGTTGAAGGCGCAGCAGGAGGGCTGCCCTGTCTGTGGGGACCTCGCAGGAGGACGGCAGCCTGCAGGACAAAGGGGAAGCTTCTCCTTCATGGGGAGAGGCGCTGGCAGAATCGGCAGGGAGGAGGCACCGTGGGTGGCCGGCGGGAGGTGTTTGTGGGTTGGCCGGTTGTTGTCTGCAGTGAGACAAGCTAACGGGTTTCAGAGGGTCGCTAGGGAGAGGAGGAGGCAGGGCTGGTGCGCGGTGGATGGTGTTCAGAGGGTGTGCGTTTCGGGTGGTGTCGAAATGGCAGGCATGGGGGCTTAGGGTGGAAACAGGCCCCACTTAGGGCCCGGGAGCTGAGGGTCTGGCGGTCGTTGATGAGATAGATCGAGGGTCCTCTCGGAGGAGAACGTGGCTCGGAAAAGACCCTCTTCCCTCCCAGAGGGATGTCACTGTTCTGCCCTTACCCAGGAGACACTCGGGATTGGAAACTGGGCGAAACCAGCGCAGTAACTGCTGCAGGCCCCTGTGTGCAGGGCTGGGCCTGGCTCTCCCCACACCTGAGGACGGCAAAGTCCGCGTCACCCCAGATCACGGGCTAAACGCTCCAGGCCAGGCCCTTTCGTGTCGTCTACAGGACGGCTGAAAAACTGCCTTCGAACAAACCTTCCCTGCTGGACTTAGGGAGTCGTGTTTCTCAGTCTTTTCTCCTGCCTCAGTAACATGGAGGGCTTGGTGAAGTTCTGTGTCGCCGTGACAGTGCCATGATCTGGCTCATTCCACTCGAGGTCCGTAGCCTGGAGGGGACAGGTTGGAACTACCCGTAGGCCAGGCCGTGATAGGGCGCACACTGATTTCCGGCAGGGGAGGTCCGCAGACACTCTCTCCGGCTTTTCTGGGCAGTCAGAATTATGCATTAGTGGCATGGCAGGCCACCTGGAGGGACCCAGTGAGCACCAGGGAGAATCTATTCCAGCTTCCCCCGGGGAAGACGGACATCAGCGTGCACGCGCCATCCCGCTGCGCAAAATGCAAAGTGGCTCCTCTGAACTCACGGGGATTTTAAACTGTTTGCATATTAAAAGTCAAGGAAAGGATTGGGGTAAATAGCCCCATAATATTCGTACAATAATTCTCCTGATTTTTATAGCGAACACGGTGAAAAGTGTTTGTTTTCTTGCTGCTTAGACGTGTAAATAATTGCCTGAACTCTCCCCTCTGCACACGGGCGCAGATGCTCTCAGGCAAGGCCCCGTCCGAATGGCCGGAAAAGTTACCTGGGGTCCGATGAGTAACGTGAAGGTCAAGTCCAGTGAGTGACCTGAACAAGGAGGCCCTTCGCTGAGGGAATGAAATTCTGTCTATGAGTACAGGTAGAAATAATTTTTGCCGAAGACAAAACAATTGTTGGGGGAAATATTCCCACCTATTTGAGAATTTCCTGTGGAATCTACACTCCCTGTCGCCCTAGCAAGGAGGGACATTTCACACCGAATCCCTGCAGGCCGCGGCACCCGCTCTCACAGTTTGTCACCGTGCAGCAGGGCACGTCCGCGAGGTCTCTATTCTCTGTTAAAGAAAAAAAAAAAAGGAAATTTCGTGTAGCTTTGGCTACATCTCAAGAATAGCTCTCACTCGTTTTTGTTTTTTTGAACAGCAGACTGGGATTTCTAACCCCATTTTCCCTGAATGTGTGTCTTTCTTTTAAGAAGATACGTGGGCCGCATACTTTCCTAATTGGTGGCGCTGAGCAAGATCCAGTGCAATTTGCCAGCTCAGGAGCAGGTCGGGCGACGTACCCGCCCGAGCCCTCCGTCCTGGGGCGGGATTCTGGAATCACCGCTCCGCGCTCCCCAGGGGCCCCGGAATTCCTCAGCCTTTGGCAGCAGATCTGTGCCGCGACTCCACCGTCTATTCACTCTGACAGCCCGTGAGAGACAGGGCGGTTGCCATAGCAACCTTACACACCAGCGCCTGCAGACACAGAATGGCAGGTCCAGAAATACTCCTTTGCCCATTGCTGCCCCAGGGCCCTCTCAGGGACACCATCCCTTTGCCCGGGAGGGACCACGGCCTCTTCCTCCTCGGCACCAGAGCTCCCACCGCCAACTCCTGACCCCTCCGGCGATTCTGTGGATAAATCTCCAGAGCAAGAGAAAGGAAAGGGGCCTGCCCTTCCCCGGGTCACCCGCGGGAGGCCACACTGCACGGCCCAGCAGGTAGGGCCTGCGGGGCCTTTGTCACAAGGTATTTCCGGTGGGAGCACAGCCTGTTGGGAACCCCTCTCACGCCCAGCACGCGTGTCCTGTTGTCGCCAGAGGCTGAGCCCCAGGCCCACTGTGTGCACCCTCCGTTTCTTTAGAACGGGGCAGCGGGGAGCACCCACTCTCAGGCTGCCCGGGGACCTCCCCCGGGCCTTCCTGGCCTACGCAGTGGGTGTCGCCCAGCCCAGGGTCCGAAAGGGGCTGGAGTGACCCAGGTCCCCGAAGCCGGGGGGCCTCTTCCCCGCCACCTTCTCCCCTCTGCCTTGAGAGGTGGGAGACACGGGTGTGGGAGAAGGAAAGGCAGGAGCAGAGCCCGCCCGGCCTGTTCTGGCTGGCGGGAAGCAGGGAACAAGAGCAGCGGGGCTGGAGCTCCCGGGGGCTGGCGGGGCTTGAAGGGACCAGGGGAGTGGGCCCCCACACGGGGGCCCTTCCTGGGCTTGGTGGCACCGGGATGTGATGCTGGGAGGGGCCTTCTGGATCAACCTGTCCACCTCCCTGGCTGTCGGCCTGTCCTGGAGGTGGCCCTGGGGCAGTCTCCCGTCGCTGCGTCAAAGGCGTTAGCACACAGCGCACGGGAGGCATCTGGAAGTCTCCGTCAGTCCGGACTGCTGTAGCAAGTGCCACCGGCTGGGCAGTTTGGACAACAGACGCCTGTTTCCCGCAGCTCTGGAGCTGGAAGTCGGCAGGGAGCTTTCTCCTGAGGCCCCCTCGGTGCAGACGGCGTGTTCCCCCCAGTCCTGCGTGGTCTTTCCCGTGTGTGTGTGCGCGCGCGTGTGTGTGTGCGCGCGTGTGTGTGTATGTGTGTGTGTGTCTGCGTCCTGGCTGCCCTCTCGCGTGACGAGGCCTCCCAGCTGGGCTAGGGCCCGGCCCAGCCTCCTTTACCCCAGTCCCTTCTGTGAAGACCGCGTCTCCAAACAGCGCCGCATTCTGGGATCCTGGGGCTGAGGCTTTGACACTGAATCTGGGGGGCATGATTCATCCCGTAGCACACAGTCATTTCTCCCCCAAACCTGCAGGCAGCCCCGAGGGTCTCCTGTTGTCCTTCCAGCTGTGTTTAATCAGGTCCGCCCTCTGTCGAGGCGCAGGTGGGAGTCCCTGGGCGCGGGCGCCCGGCTTGGCGAAGTCTCGCTCTGGGACAGGAACGGAAGTCTCACGCAGCAGTGACTCCTCGA